TTCTGCTATCAGTCATGTTAATCTATTTCGATCCCGTGAACTACTTCAGCTAAGCCTGCCATCGATCTCGATGTCTTCCCATGTATATGTCATCGTTATATGCATAGTATTGTTGCATATATCGCAGGTAAAACAGTATAGCATAACAAAATAGTGTATCATTTATTTCGATGTACTGTACTCTATGTACTACAAAGATATAACAAATTCATGATACTCTGATAAGTACGGCTCTGCAGCAACTACAATATCGTGAAACATTGGCCGTATCAATATTCTGCAGGCCTGTAAAACCCAATGAGAGAGAGATATCATGCAGCTAGGCCAATATTAAGGCTGGACTTGGTAATTTTCACCAAGACGATAGAAAAACTACATACCAAATTCAAATTTCTCGTAGTAAATATACAATGTAATGTTCTCTTTTACACACGTACATTTTATGAAACATCCTTATTTAACACATATACTAAGAGGTTGAAAGTATGTAAATTTGTTTGAAGGTTCCTGCAGAAGCACAAATCATGCTTTTTCACTAATGCATTATTTTTTGGCATGCCGCTTCCTCATGAAAAAACAAAAATAAGGCGAATAAATTAGTAATTAACAAGTAATTAATATTGAAAAATGATAACCAATTTCAAAAAAGTATTGATAGCAAAGTTTTGAAACTTACTTTAGTTGCTTTGTTTCCAGACAGTACTCAAAAAAGGACTCCAAAATAGACAAAAGAATGGATGCCACGTAAAAATTTCTTAGCCCTGACTTTTCATTTGGCGAATACGATGCAGATTTGTCCTCAAATATACGATAATTAAAAAAAGCTAGAAAATTATTCATCTGAATATTAAATGATTCACAAGACAAAGTAAAAGGCAAGATGCAACATAGATTAATTTAGTTTACGTTAACACCTTGCGCTAATTTTCTGTCAGCTATCAGGTGGGCCAAGGAAAAACGGTTGGAAAACAAATGCATCGGAAGCACGGCCGTATGCCTCTAATGCTTGGTATGATCCATCTAATCACCTTGATATCCCAATTATTCACAGTTCAACCAAATTCTACTGGTTTCTAACCTCTTTGCAAAGTACATTGAAGTGAATTACCAACTCATAGGAATTAGCAGAAGATAGGAAAAAGTTAATATCGCCCGTGAACTTTGAACGAAGTACCTTTAAACTACAAGAGAATGGACAAACGCTCTGCGCCACTCGTCATGAATAAAAGTAAGATCATATCTAATAAAAAATCTAAAAGGAAACTATGGCATTGGCAGAGTTAAAATTCCTCATAGGTTGTAATTAAATGTGAGGTAATAATGGACGTTTACTAAAAGCCTGAGTATTGTATTCTGGTGTCTTCTGAAAGCGGAAAAACCCATCAAAGCGTCAGCATTTACAGGCAACGACCAGTGTGAAGGACCGTATACAAAAGCAAAGTGTGGCAAAGTGTATTATGCTTAGCTGCCAAGGAAACCAATGAGGGTTGAGAGCGCGACTCTCCAAATTTGTCCCCGTCACGACAATGCCACTTTATTAAATTATTAACTTCCTTGGCAATCAGTGACATGTTTACTTTAAATATAACAGAGAGTGATACAACATATGGTTCACGGTATAAAAGATAATAAAGCAGGAACAAAATATGCATTATGTATGATAAGTTATAAAGTGTAAGTATACATATGACAAGAAGGCTTAGGATATAACGGAAGAAAGCACGGCTCCGTCAAACAATCGATAATCTGAACCGCGAGCTGAATGATATTGAAGGGAACTGTAATACAATGAAGTTTATCAAATGAAAAGAGGAGTCGAATTACAATGGATAACAGCTTGAACGCTTGTCAAGCTAAGCTGCAGCCACTGTCTACTATATTAATAAAACACTGTTTGTGACACTGATTACTGCATGTAAACTTAAATATGCTACTGATATCAGTAAAGAAATGCACTAGTGAACAACAAAGACCTAATTGATAATTTGAATAGATATTTTCGTATCAAACTTATAAATTAATTATGAAAACATTATTGTCGACCAACATTTTCAAAAAAGGTTACGTACCAGATTAAAGTCCTCCAACTCAGCTTCTTTCAGTTTTTCACACAGTAAATCCAAGTAATGCTTTACTTTACTGATAGGAGCATCAGTCGCCGTTGTGCAATTCTCGAAAATGGAGAAATCCGCAGAAAGTTTCAAACACATGGTCAAACAGTGAATAAGAACACCCTCAACACAAAACATCCCTAGAGTTCATTCAACTGCGAAACTGTAAAGAATACTTACCAGCGGTTCTAACAGCGACATATGCTCTTTGGAAGTAGCTACGCAAGATTCAAGATTCAGCCGTTCAGGCAGACCGTTAGACATCTCCAAATATCGTTCAAAATGCGGAAGAAGTACGTCGACAATCGGCTCGACGAAAATATGGTTTCTAGAGACGAGAGTACAAAATCCCTAGAAAAATAGATGAGTTATGCAAGAAAACTTCAGCCTCCATGAAAACCAGTAGAGCTGGATGAGCAGTCTGGCGTTTTCCTGCATTACTGTCGTGTACATATATAGGCAGCTGACAAACGGACCGCGGGTCTGCAGTATAAATACTCTTTTCCATGAATTGTACTGTTAGCTAACGCGTCTACAGTTCATTGGCAGTGATCACATATTGATTTTTTAAAAATGCTCCAATTAATCAAATCGAACTAGTCGCTGGTGTCTGAATTCAGTATTTCAAAGAGTTAGCCTTCATCACCGACCAGCAACTTTAAGCAGACTGCATTGTTGGAAGTGGTCTAGAGTAGTAGCTAAGTGGTGATAACTGCTTCTACAGAAACGCAACGTAAACGTGGTACATTAAACAATATGTCTGGCAGATGAAGGGCTAGCCAACGTTTCAGTCGGTGTCACAAACCATGCTAATATTAAAGTTTGCTGTTATTATTTTTGGTTCTACATAACCGTCGCATATCTCTGTTGGCCGGGACAGTAAATCGGTCAGCTGTCTTAACTGCTTTAGCCGAAACCGTCGCTGCATCTTAGGACCATCAACCGGCTTTTCGTATCCTTGATACTGCCCATATTTAAACGCACTGAAAGTTCGTTTCAACACGCTGACTGCAGCATTACTTTTTCTGTGAAAGGTCTCGAGTTTGTTCATGCCGCATCGTTACCTCCTAGTCACCTTCTGCATCTTCTGCCGGGTTTCGATTTTCACATGAAAAGATTCCCGGCTGGAGCGATTGAATTAAAGCAGCTGATCTAAAAGGACTAGGCTCATCTGCCTATTCTCCATATCTGTTAAGGATGATACTGCATGAAAATGAATGTTCATCATCCGTCAACAAACTCTAAAGAACAAATGCTGAGATATTAACCAGCAGCAATAGCGTTGAAGTTTTTCCTTCTCGTATGTAAAAGATGGAAGGTAAATATGTAACTGTTGAAATAACGAGAATCCTTGCACTTTCATGATTTGCGGCCATTTCAAGTGTCCTTTTTACATGAAGTTTATGATGAGCCGCTGCTCTCCATTTCTATGTAATCAGTCAGAAATATCTTATTCTGAAGGCCGAGTCGATAGATTAACTTAGATAGCATATTTTGCAGTCTTTTGGTTCCTTTTTACAGAGTGGTATTCATTTATTAAACTCGTAGAAGAAGGAGTACGACCTGACTGAGGCTCGTGCTCGGGACCTCTCGGTTTTGAGTCTGATGCTTCATCGATTGAGCAATCGGCCTGAAGCAACGTTGAGTTAACTACTGGCTCAAGGAAATTTACGGTATAGATAAAAACTGTTTGTTGTGTCGGAATCAAACTCGTAATTTCCGCACTTCATAGCCTCACATTATACAATGCGCCGCAATGGCCATTGGTGTTCATATTTCAAATATATGATGAACCAATGATTGCAAACCACTGATACTCCTGATTGCAAATTGGAGTACAACCAAAAAGCTAAAGTGCTGCAGTTGAAAAGTCGATAAAAAATGCAAGAGAGAAAACTGAACTTGCCATGTACAGGGTCTCTCGAGTAGTGCCATCTTGCAACAGAGCCCTTTGCAAACAGCCAATGATTTCCAAGCCCATGATTTCAAGTGTGGTTTGTTCCGATCGGGGTAACAAATTAGAAACTGTCTACAAAACGTGCTTTTACAATCATCTTCTGCGGAAACGCAGACAAATTTTTACTTGACTACTGGAAAAAGTTGGGAACGTTTGTGAAAACTGACTTGACTGCGAAGACATGATCGAATCGATTATGCGGAAACGGTCCAGGAAAAGCACAAAACCATTTACGGCAACTTTTCGTGAATTTGGTTCCCTAAAAACGAAACTGATTTTGGTAAATAACAAAACAAAATTATAATAATAATCAAAAATTAATTAAACGGGATTTTCATGGAACAATCACCACCAAGTCAAATTCGTACATAGAAACAACTCAAAAAGTAAGCGATAACATGTCAGGCAAAAGGCTCTGAATGGTAGCCTAATGACGGGTAACTCACTGGGTAAAATCCAACTCGTAGTCAAAAGATCACAGATTCCAAAATATTTCATGTCATTCGTATTTCATCATACGTCTAAATCACCAGGTGAAATGCACTTAAAAACAGATATCTATACAATGAACTTACAATCTATACAATCGATAAAACAGAAGACCTCGCTTTCAAAACTAGCAAACTTTCGACTGATTACATTTAAGCAAAGATTATTACCGCAAAATAAAGCTATATGAAATATGAAAATTACAAATAAGGCACATAAGGAAAATTTAGAGGAAACATAAACTTCCATCCTTTAAGTTACTACAATAGTTGTATAATACTGTAATGAAACTGTAACGTAACTAATGTAGGAAAAACATTTTGGTATTTTTACGGAAAATCAGTGTGAAGGGGAAGAACACTCCGACTGGATTACAACATTAGGATTAGAGAAGTCAACATTGTGCACATTTGCTAAAAGGGAAAAAGACAAAATTTTTTTCATTTCAGTGCCTAATCTCTTTAAAGAGAATGACGTTTATGAAAAATTGATGCTTTACATCAGTCGTTGATAAAGATCAGTCGTTGACATTTAAAATTAACACAGTAGAACTGCAAATATATAAACGTAACCAAATTATATACTACACTATATGCTATAAAATTAAACATTTTATATCACTTACTACACCCTTTCTGATCCCTGCTTATCTACTGGTCTGCAACAGCTGCAGCAACCTTATTAGTAACAAAAAGAAATTTTTTGAGAAAAAGTACGCCAGATGCGGATTTTGGAAACGGTACAACCGCAGATTGCATGGTTCGATCAATATTCAACTAATCAATTATCATCCCGTGTTGAAAAGGTAGATGATAAGATACACCACATTCTACGAGATTCTTGTGCGTCATGCTTAGAGATGTCCAGTTCGTACGCGGAGTAGTCTTGCAGCACCACTTTTGAAACAATCGTATCTGCATTATTCTTGTTCTTATCCATAAACAGTCAAAAAATGCCGTCATTAACAATTCTCCGAAGCAGACACAACATGCACATCACGCAATATATCATTTTTTTGATTATGGGAAAACTGTTGGAAATCCAACGAATTTGATGATCGATAGTTCAGGACACCAAGCAAAGCTAATGTTATAGTTACTGTTATTATTACAGTTTCAATCGCCTACACGTTCCATTCACATCAAAAGGATCATTCGGGCAAAATTAAGAAGGACGGCAACAAAGACAAGAAAAGAATACGAATAAAATAAATTAAATAATACGAGACATCAGAAAAAATGACGAATCTGGGTTAAACAGGACGTCAATCCCCATGCTCGTTTCAAGTTTGTGACAACGACCCACCTTTTCTTTATCACCATAAAACAGTAGCATACACTGCAGTCCATATGTGTGAAAAAAATATGAAATCACTCCTTTACCCGAAAACTGCGTGGTCTCTGACGATTATAGAAACGCTCGCGTGACAGAAGAAATATCCCTCGAAATTGGATTGTTTGGCAATACCGGAGGCTTCAGGCTTTAGGCAAATATCTGTTGATCCAGATATTAAACTTTTGGCTACATAAACATTACCAGGTTTACAGACCAACCACGAGGCTGACACAACACCAGGAATTCTTGTAATGAAAAGGG